GCACTTGTTACTAGAAGCGATGCCCTTTGTTACTAATAGCTTCTTGCTCCTAGCAGTAGGGCCAGGAGCCCCTAGTAGCGTCCTTGCTCCTAGGTCATTGAAATTGCACCCGGAGTGCTCGAGCTTCAGTTGAAAGGCATGAAATATTACGGCACCGTCTCCAGAGAAGCGCAGGCTTCGATCACTTGGAATGACGGTGATATTTGGGTCCGCAAGTAGAGCTGAATTCGTGGAGTCAAGTCAAAATCGACGGGACTACACCATCGCGTGCGATTATCCATGTTCAAAAGAGCTCACCGAACGCCAAAATGCCCAATTGGCATGGCATTTGGGCCAGCTTTGCGGTTGAAGTTCCTTTTCGCACGTCCATCCAGTCGATCTTTACATGTCAAACTCACCTTCGAACATCCCCATGGCCAAGAAGTGTTGGGCAAATCACCACTAGAAGGATGAAATGCTTTAGCGCTAGCAACTCAGTCAGTACACTGTTGGACTGACCCCGTTCTTAGTAGTTCTAGGTCATGAACTTAGCTGAAAAGAATGTTGTGCACTTTGTTCCATGCCGCATTGCCTTTTTTACTTAGGTTTTTACTGGCTGTTTCATGACTTCTTTTTTCCTTTCCCCAAGATCGAAAGCTTTTTTGAATACTCCGCTGCACAAAAGGTGAGCACTTCGGCAGCCTGGTCCCTGCTGTGATGGACTGCCCCGAGGAGTTGCTGAGTCGTCGCTTCGCCCAGCAAAACCCACAGCTTTGGGAACAGAAGGCAGACGTCTCGGTCGGGTTTCTTCACCTTCGGTCTTTTTCTACACCTTTCAGAGTTGCAGCATTTCAAGCCTTTCCAAAACATAGCCTCCAACCTACTAGCGATGGCCTCCATATTCAAAAAGCATTTGTTGACAAACTGCTTTCAGAATGGCTCTCACGGTTTGTTTGCATTTGCAATGGCTTTTTATAGCAGCGCTGGCTCAGTATAGTTCACGTGTGGGTGTGTGTGTGTGTGTCACCCTTGGAGTCATAGGGATGCTTTTGCATTTGTTTCTTTTACAGCAGGGGGTAGCGGCAGATCATTTGGGACCGCTACCAACGAAGACGCCCACTTGATCTGGTGATATCGGAGTTGGCCACTCCGACGTACCTGCGATTTTCCTTTCTTTCTGAATGGCATGAGGCTAAGCCAAGAACCTCAAACTGCAGACATGCACGACACGTCGTCATGTCGACCTGCCCGCCGACCTCGATCTTGCGCTTTGGGCCACCTTTCCTTTTAAGACCTCCAGGATTCGATGGTTTCCTACTGGTACTCTTAGGAAATGGAACCCTAGGCCGGCGTGTGGCACCGCAATCAAGTCAGTACGCATATCCATGAGTGTGTGTCCAACAATAATTTTGAAGCCGAGTGAGCTTTTTTCGTTTCTGACAACAACATCGTCAATGTGATCCAACCTGGCCATTTTGCACAAAGAAACGTTGAAGCCTTCGCTTCGCCAGGTTCTGCCTTGGCTTCGCTCATGGAAGATGGACGCTGCTCCAACTCTTTCGCACCACTTTGGAGCGTGGCTCTGGCAAAAGGGTTGGCTGCAGCGAATCTATACACAGGAGGGAGGGTTGAGGGTCTTGAAGGGTTTGGCTGTGACTAGTGAGGGGGTTGAGGCAGCATTTCCAAGCACTTTCAGTTTAGTTTCTTGGCCTTTTCCGGGTTGGACCCCGTGGAGTGTGCAGAACGTGGATGGCTTGCACCTGCATCCATCCTTGGAGCTTCCCCGAGATGTGGTGGTTGAATGTCATGGATCAATGGCGGCTGGCCTCGTCCTCTACGGAGATCCATTGCCTCAGCATTTCGAGGCGCGGACTCAGACTCAAATCACCACTACTAGCTTCTAGCTACGTTCGTAGCGATGCCCTTTGTTACTAGTAGCTTCTTGCTCCTAGTAGTAATGCCAGGAGCCCCTGCTAGCTTCTTGTTGCTACTAGCTTCTTAGCTGGTAGTAGTAATTTGTAATGGCCTTCAGCCTAATAGCGATGGCCCCCAACCTACTAGCTTCTTAGTATCCTGTTCTATCTTCCATTGTTTTTGCTAGAAATCTAACAATCTTTTGTAGGTGCATTCTAGACCTTTTAAGTTGGTCTTTAGGATTCGCTCAGCAGCACAGGTAGAACCGATGGAATCCTTTTGTATTCTTGCCGAGGACTGTTGTTCTGAAGACTTCGATAAGGTAGATTTGGTGCTGGTCATGGGCACCAGCCTGCAGGCCGATAGTTTGACAAGACGCGAGTTTGATCACGCGTTGAGGCGATCGCTACTAGGTTGGTGGCCATCACTACTAGGTTGGAGGCCATCACTACTACTAGGGTGCAGCCATCATGGAGGCCATCGCTAGTAGGTTGGAGGCTTGCTTTTCAGTCCTTCTACGGTTTGATCCCTTGATAAGGTGGCCCCCTTTTGTGGTTTGCCCAATATGGCTCCAAAGGGCGCAACTCGAGTGCTCGCGCGGAACCTCAGACAGCCACGGACAAGGAAAACGGACAAACCCTTACTAGCTTCTTGTTACTACTAGTAAGGCACTTGTTACTAGTAGCGATGCACTTGTTACTAGTAGTTCATTTGCAAGTCGCGCTCTTCATTCCTTGAGTGTTTTGACTCCCGTTCGCTTCTCCGCTTGCTCGTTCTGATGCATTCTCTAGATCAGCTCAGCTGCCCGAAAGTTGGACCACACTAGTTCTTTCATGGCTTTGGTTTTCGTGGAGTTTATCACACTTCAGGTGAATCAGCACCTGGAAGATTGCCGTTTTAACTCTTGGAGTCCCAAGAATCTCGGGCTCGCAGGCAGATTTTGTCTGAAGTGACACTGACACAGCAGTGCTGCGGTGTTGAGCGGCTGTGCCAGGCATGAGGATGGCAACCACCACGCGGATTGGTAAGCGGAAAGCCGTGCAACTGCGACCTTTATGGTGGGACAGGACCATCCGTGACACCGTGAGCGGATCAAGATGACGGAAACCTCTCTTTTGTGGCCGAGAGTGCCAGTGACCATTCGCCATTCATTGCCATTCTGCGAGCAAATCATTGAATGGGCCTCACTCCATGGCCTTTTTCGTATTTTGCCTTTTCGCTTTGCTTCGCTTTTCTTTGTTGTTTTCTTCTTTCCTTCTTGTTTCCTCTTTGCCGCTTCAAGTTTTTCACAATGGGCTCATTGCAGGAAAGGATCTTCTCGCTGGACACAAGTCTTTGTGCAGTCGACCTGCGACTCGTCGGGCTCCCAGAGCGGCAGGAAATCAAGGAAAATCAGAAGGTGTTTTTTTCAGAACAGTTGCATGTCCATTCAGACTCGAGAAATATTGATAAATATTGAGACTCTTTTTTGGTTCTTTGGGGTTCTTTATGTGGCGGGAAAAGCAGTTTTTCAGAACCCAAATGGGCAAAGATGCGAGACGTCCGTGGTAAGCTACAAGTTTGTCGAGAGGCAGCTGCTAAGGTTTGTTGAGAGCTTCTACCGTTCCAAAGCCGAAGCAAATTGAAGCCTATGAATGCACGATGATTTAAGTCTCACAGTGTTTCTCAGGCTTGGGGCACTATCAATTAAGGGATCAGAACCAGGTTCACCATTGGTTTGAGGTCCTTCCTGTGGCAGAAGCACACCCAAAGCCACATGGCCCCACAATGGGGGACACCAGGGGCACCTGGCCTTTCTTCATTTTGCCAGTTTTGAACACCTGCGGAACCTGGCCGCCGGTGATTGTGCAGTGTACAGCATGTCACCGCCTCCGCGTGCAAAATGACCAGTTGCAGTGGTCAGTGAAAGATGTGTTATGAGGTTGGAGGCCATTGCTATTAGGAACAAGAAGCTACTAGGAGCTCCTGGCCTTACTACTGGGAGCAAGGACGCTACTAGGGGCTCCTGGCCTTACTACTAGGAGCAAGAAGCTACTAGGAACAAAGGCCATTGCTATTAGGTTCCTCATGCTATTATGTTGGAGGCGATTCCTCTTAGGTTGGTTCCACATTTGCCAAGTTGATGTGACTATCATAACTGGGAACTTATTTGATGCACCAATTGCTTGGGCTTGCAAGTCGGAAACAGCCGAAAAGCATTGGACACTTGCCGAAAAGCCTAAGAGCCTAACAGCTGCTAGCCAGATCATATCATTGGTCACATTCCACCGTATCGCAAATAGAAGGCGAAGTGGATCACGAATGACCACTGTGTAAATTGCTTCGTGATCACGACACGGAATAGCAAGCGATGCCCTTTGCTACTAGTAGCCTGGTAGTAAGGCTAGGAGCTACTAGTAGCGTCCGATCGCTCCTAGTATAGCGATGCCCTTTGTTCCTAGTAGCTTTTTGTTCCTTGGAAGCCTGTGGCGCAAAGCTCTTCCTTCAAAAGCATGGCCTTCAGTGGCCTTCATGGGGTTGATGGCATCCCGCGCAGCAGCTTTGAAGATTCTGCGCCACTCACCTTCGATGATTCCAATTGACATGACGGCATACAATCCTTACCACCTGCGAAAAAGATAATAGACCCTGGTCGGCCCGGTCGTAGCTACAGATGGTTGTTGTTGTGTTGATTCCTGTTTGATTCATGATCACATCCTGTACCAGCACACCCTCCTAGTGCACTTGAGGTGACATTCCTGCAACACGACGAGAGCACTCGAGGCATGCAACCTTTAGTCATGCGTATACGCGTGGGCACTTGCGTTTGGTTGAAGAGTTTGGAGAAGAGTCTTGGACTCTCAATCAGGGGTTGAATGTTGTTATAAAGAATTCTTGAGCTACTAGGAGCAAGTACGCTATTAGGGACTCCTGGCATCGCTACGAACGGAGATCACGTTGAGCTCTGTGAGTCAGGCGCATTTGCCACGCTGGACAGCTGGATACTAAAGCCTTCCTGCGACGGAATGCCATAGAGACTTTAGCCGCTGATTTGGACGAGGAGCAGGGCCGCTTGGGACTTTGGGAAGACAAGTTTTTTAGCCCCAGGGGGGTTGGCCGCTAGTAGTGGCTGGGTAGCTAGTAGGAGCTAGGTAGCTACTAACTACTGGACGCAGGATAGCTCACGCTTCTTCAAGGAAGCTCTCCGCGCCGCCCTAAAGGCAGCGGGGGAAGCTCAGTTCAAGAAGCGCTCGCACTGATGATTTGGCTCCTAGATTTCCAAGGACACTTAACAAATAGCGATAAAGGGACGAAGACCTTTATACACATATTATCATATGACCCGTCATATGACGACGTGTGTTGGGAGTTCATGTGCTGCATTTGGAAGGAGTTGATCATTGATCACTTTGAGATGATATCGTTCATCACCGTTGATCATGTTTGCTTCGACTTTCACAAGACCTTCAGGAGGCTTTGGGCGCCTTAAGCTTTGCGTTGCAAGATCCAGACCCGGAGATTCGTGCGGACGTTGCGCGGGTGTTGCGGCCGATCCTACCAGATCGCTCTCAGGCACGTGTTTGCTCTGATTCATTCAACCTAATAGCAAGGGCCAACCAAAGAGCGATGGCCTCCAACCTAAGAAAGTCTTGAACGCTTATGATAACTTATGTGATAACTTATGTGGCTCGTGTGTCTTGGAATCTTGTCGTCTTCAACCAGATCGTTGCCTCAACAAGATGTCTCCAGCTTTCTCAGGGTGAAGTGTGGGTCAATCGAAGCTGCAGGTGATTGGCATTATCCTTGCCTTGATGCAAGACGGTCGCTCCTTCATAAGGCCTGATCCGTTCTGTAAGAGCGATGAGGAGAAAAGACACCGATTTCACTTGTGCTGATTTCGTTCGCCAGTTGACAGGGAAGCTGCCTCAGAAGTCCTTTGTTTGCACCTCATTCAGACATGTTGAGCTCAGCTTGTTAAGCTCCATTAAAGAATCAGCATGGAAGATCACCATGGAAGTGATGGAGAAGGAGTTCTTCGTTTTGTTTTACATTTTTTGAGTCAGTTGATTTGTGTGTGTGTGCCTCTCTATGTGCATGTCGGCGTGCCCCATGTGCTGCACCGGACCATAGGTTTTGGGATGCATGGCAGAAGAAGACGATTCAGCCTTGCTTGCGGCAAACTCTTTCTTCGCTGATTCCAGATCATGGCTCAGGCGCCAATTATGGTCAGCGTGCATGCTGAGATTGTCAACCTTGTACAAACTGTTCGTCAGGTGTTTCTCTGTGAGGATTCTTGGCCGGTGCGCCTGGAACAAGACTGCATTGCAACTGGCCATCGGGCATTTGGCGGATTCCAGGTGTGAAGTGCAGCCAGGATGACTCACACTGCTACTCACGCTTGCCCAAAATGCCCACAGCAACAAACCGCTCAATCGGCTAATCTTTGCGTGTTCTATCGCAAGCTTGCGTGTGTGATTGGTTCTTTTTTGGGGGGTTCTATTTTGCACAATGGTTGCCAGGTTCTTTGTGCGGCAGGGTGCTGTTGAGGTCTTGGGCCATAGTACCTTTGCTGAACGGTGAGAGTTCATGAGATCTCGCACGGGTGATGAAGGCACGGCAAAGACTCATGATGCTCATGTCAGGCGCGATGCTTGGGATATCTGATGCCGTGGCCCCGCTTCTCTCAAGCTTGGAGGATTCCTCTCACTTCGTCCAAGAATTGGCCATCAAGTGGCGCGAAAGGCTGCTGTTTGCTGCAATGAGATGGCTCAATGAGGAAGCTCAAACTGGTGGAGCTCGCTTTGGCTCCACGCTCTCGAAGGAACTCAGCTTCACGGTCTTGAAGCTCATGAGCTCTCAGGGAGATGTGTCGGCCATTGGCGCAGCGGTGAAGGCTTTGTCTTGTAAGAACCCGACTTGCAGAGTGGCTGCCGTTCAGATCTTGGGTGAAGCAGCTCTTCAGGGACATGAGCTTGCCATTTTGGTCCTGGATCTTTCTTTGCAGAAAGATTTGCACGAGGTCAAGGTGGAGAACATGCATATGAAGCTTCATGTAGATTCAGTGGATTTGCCTGAGAAGATTCAATTGGCCTCAGAAGCTTTGATGGAATCGGCCAAGAACATTTCAGATGCAGTGAAGGATTTGATGCCAGACGAGATTGTAAGGAGACAGCTTGACAGAGAACCAAGCACTGTGAGCTCAGCTTGCCAGAAAACAATTCAAAAGCTGATTGACGAGAAAGGCTCACAAAAGTGATGCGTTTCCGTGCTTGGTTCCAGATTTTTAGGGAAACTTAATATATTAGACCTTGCTCCCCTCTTCTTTTGTGGCTAATAGCAATGGCCTCCAACCTAATAGCGATGGCCTCCCAACCTACTAGCAATAAGTATATCGATATATATGACGCCTTTGCTTTCAAGCTTTTGGAAGGCCATAAATGCTGAACTTTGTCAGAATCATTCCTTTGCAGTGCAGGTGTTTCCGCCACAATGCAGCACATCTTGCAGATGGCTGTGCATGATGAAGAGGTGATGCCAGGCAGGGCTGCACTTGTTGAGAAGTTGATATTAGCTGGTGGCTGTGCAGTCAGGCGTCAAAAATGAAGAAGAGGATCCAATGGAAGAGGCGGCCCTCAAGGTCTTGGAGGGAAGAAGGACTAAATTTGCGTAAGGGAAAGGTTGGACCGGAGATTAAACATAGGAATTGAGATGCTTCTTTGCTTGATTGCTGTCTTGAACTGGTTGAACCTTTCTATATCTTACGCTCTGTAACTCTGTAACTTTGGTTTCTGTCTCCAGCTCCAGGAGTGTTTTTAGCCCTGCGAGTGGTGCTCTCATCACGGACTCCGTCTCCTACCTCCGACGGGCCGCAGTGGAGACACTGGCAGATCGAGCGAAAGCTGGAGACACCTCGGCGATCCGAGCCTTGTGCTTGGCCTTGGAGGAGATCTGCCCAGAAGAAGTCTCTGCTTTGCACTGAACCCAGCAGGTAGCAAAAACCGAGCCCAAGGACGCTACTAGGAGCAAGAAGCTACTAGGGGCCCCTGCCCTTACTACCAGGAACAAAAAACTATTAGAAGCAATAGTTTTAATTAGAATTGCTAAATGGGGCTGGGGAGCAGGAGCTGGGGAGCAAAAGGAAGGCAGGAACTGGGGTCCACAAGAAGAAGGAAAACGCACGAAAACAGCAAAAATGTTGCTCCCAACACGCAAACATGCTGCTAGGAACACACAAGCCTGCCGCACTGCTGATCCTAAATCCTGACTAGCAAGGGGTTGGGGGCCCCATGTAGCTCCTTGGTTCCCTGCTTAATGGCGAATATGGATACTCCTGGCTCCTTATTTCCGTCACCAATAAGCACCAGCTAGAGAAGCACAACTGCCTCGAGAGAGAATGAATCGTAACGGAGACAGAAAGCAAGTGCAACAGAGCAGAAATGTCCTCTCAGGTACGTGCAACTAACTGCCTGTGGCCTTGCTGCGCACACAAGCCATGTGCTTGCAGCACAGAACGTCCTTTGCGCGCTGTACGCGCGTGCCCCCGTTGCGAAGTACTCTTTGCGACTCAGCACAAAACATGCTTTATGCGCAACAAGGCCACGTACCTAGCAGGACAAATTTTGGTAGCTGCAAGCTTTTTCCACTTGTTGTGTATTTTGCGCCCCCGTTGGGAAGCATTCTCTCTCCGCACGCAGTTCACTGTGTTCCTCCAACGCGATTGAACTGCAAGCCCTAAATTGCATTAAATTGCCTTGCTGCGAAGAGTCACTTGCGTGCGCCACTCACCGCGTCCACGATGAGAGAAACGTTGCCCGAAGCTCTCGGCTGCAGCGATTAGGGCTGACAAGGCTTGAGGCCGATACAGCGCCTAACAGCACCTGGTTAGGCAGAAATCTGATGATGCACCCCGAATAGCACCCAATTTGTGGACGTCCCAGCGCCCACGGCAAGGTTGCCCGACCATTTTCAGGTTGTAAGATTTCAGTGGCACTGTTCAGGGGTTCCAAGGTTCCCGCGAAATACCCCGAGAAATCAAGCCCAACTGCACTCTGCTGCCGAAACGCCCTTGCTTCCACCTGACAAAGGCTCCAAGGCATCATTCTGAACCCAAAAGACCTTGTTCATAAATCTAAGGCTTCGATCCGAGATCATCCAAGTAGATTCCTTTGCTAGTAATTACAAGTGCCTCGCTAGTAGTAACAAGTGCCTTACTAGTAGTAACAAGAAGCTATTAATTAGAATTCTAATTAAATTCTTTTTGTTACTAGTAGTAAGGCACTTGTTTCTAGTAGCAAACATTGTTACTACTAGTAAGGCACCTGTCACTACTAGCGTGGCACTTGTTACTAGTAAAATCTAAGGCTTCGATCCGAGATCATCCAAGGGTTGCGTCACAGGACTCAGAGGCTGAGATTTGTGAAGCTGCTGCGATGCTGTTGGCTGCTTGTGGTCGGGCTGCTTGCCCGATTGCGGCGATGGGGTTGGGACACCCTTGCAACACAATGCGCAAAAGGACTACTTGCCTTTTGCGCCTTTTGTCTGAGGAGGCTCCTATGGATGTAGCTTGAATAGGCTGTGGTCATGTTTTGGAATGTTGGTTGGCCTTTTCTTTGGATGTTTAAATAGGCACCGAAAGATTGCATGTAACTGGGTGTCTGAGGTCTTTGAAAGTATCAAGCCCTTCTTTGGCAATTCAAAGGCCGCACAACACATTGTCGAGATTTTGGGCGGGCTGGGCTCGATGAATGTCCATGAAGCTTGGCTGGCCCTGCCGCCTTTCTTGCACCACGAAGATGCCGCGGTCCGAGAAATGGCAGTCAAACTGCTGCGCAATGGCTCTGAGTTCCAAATGATCAATGGCACACTGAAAACGTACTGATGCGCATTGGCCGACATTGCACCAGATTCTGGAAAGAATGATGTGGAGCCGGTTGTTTGGGTTTGGCTCAGCTGGATAGGGCACTGGATGCGTCATTTACACCTTCGTGAGCGAATTGCTATGCGCCAGCTGGGCAAGCCATGACCGAAAAGGAGGTGCTGCATTGGCGGACTTCAAATTCAAAAGAAGCCCAACTCAGGTGACATGCGTGTTTGAAAGGCAAAGGCGAGTTCGGCACCAATGTCTCTTCCACATCCGAATTGCAGATGTGGAAGATGTCCAATGACACCACATCTGCGGAAAATGAATGCAGTTCAGCAATGGACGGTTTTTCTTTTCGAAGAGCCTCTGTGCGTTAAGGCGTGTGTTGTGTGCGTGTGTGTGCGTGCTGTATGTAATGTGTGTTATGAGGCGTGCAAGCTCCTTTGTCGCAGGGGAAAACATATGAAAACATGCACAGATTGTCTACCCCATATTGGTGCTTTAAACTTAGGTACTGTCTAATTGAGGGGAGAAACAACAGCTCTCGTTTGCCCCTGCAACGCACCGTGTTCTGATATGGAGTTCATGAGGCGTGCCAAGAATTTCAAGGCCCGAAAGAGAGCTTTCAGTATGGATTGGTTTTAGGTGTCCAGTTGATTGCCAAATAGCCTTTGGTTGCAAAGGTATCGTCCCAAAAAAGTGTTATTTGGGATTGTATCCCTTGGCGGCTTATTGATTATCCAAAACATTTTTCCGTTCAATTTGAAACCAGCATTCAAGTAACTTAAGAGATTTCCCAAGCAAATGAGCTTCCTTTTTGTATCGGTTTCTTATATGATTTTCGATAACCATAACTTTCGATTTGATGACTATTTTGCAATCCTCCATCATTGGAATGTCATGAAAGCTGATGAGGTATTTGTGTGCTAGGTTTGATTTCATTGGCTTCGCATACGCTCGGAAAGCGCTTGGAGCGCTTGAAGGTGGATGAGGACAGTGAAGGTGCCACAAAAATGTTGAAAGGCTTTTGGGGTATGGGGATGGGTAGATGTTATAGGAGGTTTTGGGGTTGCCATCTTGCACTGGCAAGGCATTAGGGTGCTTTCTGGCAGTGTCAAGTAGCCATACGCAATGGTTTTTGGAGGTGTTGGGGTGTATCGAATGCGTAGGCAGCTTCAAATGATGTAGTATTTGGATGGAAAGGGCTCAACTCAACTGTACAACCAATCAACCAAGTGACTTTTCTAGGATCGCAGATATCTCCCGTGCAGAGGGTGCAATGCAGCATTTGGGACTAGGAGCGGGTCAATGCTGCATTGCTTGCTGATGTTCCATTGCTTCTAGTAACAAGTGCCACACTAGTACTACAAGTGCCTTACTACTAGTAACAATAAGAATTTAATTGGAATTCTATTAATAGCTTCTTGTTACTACTAGTAAGGCACTTGTTACTACTAGCAAAGAAATCTACTAGGACCTTTTCGCCCGCGCTACTAGGAACAAGCGCATCGCTAATGCATCTTGCAGGGGAAATTTTCACAGCTCCCGCATCGAGGCACGACACAGAACGCATCTTCTGGATCAAGTTGCCAAAGGATGCAAAATCGTCACTTGCTTTCAAGCATCAAGAAGAGCATGGACAATCTTGTGGATACATCCAGGAATTGGTGCACCGAACAGTTAAACGCATCACCAACATGCCCTGGATGCTTGTTTATTTATGATCTATGATGTGGATGCTCCAAGCTAATTTGATCTTGCCCTGCCAGGATCGCTAATCCAAATCCTTCCTACAAATTATCTTCACTTAAATAATCTAAATTTCTGCACCGAATTTGTTGCAAGTACAAGAATCGATGCCATCTATTAAAATTAAGAAATCCGGAGTCCCTGCGCTTATGCCCTCCGCACATTGATACATATACTCCACTCACACATACAACTCAATGGCTCGGCTGCTCAATCCGAAAGCGCAAACCACTCTAAAAATGAATGTGGGGCCTCGCGATACAAAAAGAACAATTGAGCCTACCTGGCTGAAGATAAAGAAAAGTTTGAATATGAAGAGGCTTGTGCCTGGGACGATTGTCGTGCACATAATACTGCTTGAAAAGATGATTTAGAGAGCTACGAAGAGCCAGAGCCCACTTACCGTGAGGAGGATATCTAACGCGATGCTGGCTCCGCTGTTGATGAGTTGGACGAAGAAGACGAATTGGCTTATAGCCCCTTCTTGCTGGATGATATCCTTAAGAAGTTTGTAGGGTTTTAAGGTAGCAGAGGCTTGTGATCTATTGTGTAGATCCATCTCTTTCGATCACAAGGAAAATGAAAACATTCTGGAAAAGGAAAGCATTCATCCTGGAAGAGATTCTTTTAACTCGCACCAATGCTATTGACTGTAATTTCACTTGAATCTGGAGGGATGTGTTTGCAATTCTACGCTAGGATATCGTAGGGAAAGATTGAGAAGCATCAATTGCAGCCATCAATTACATTAAATTTGGATTAGATTAGCAAATAGCGATTTATTGTATTAAATTCTGATAGGATTGGTGATCAAATTATGAAAACATTGTAGAAATCGATTGTAAAGATTTTGCGGTTGTTTGATATTAATTATTTTTGACATGTCATTTGGTTAAGGATAGAAAAGCAAAATGCTTAAGTGTGGCTGGGAAAAACGAGGTTTCCGAGCTCGAAACGAAGCAATGGAAATCATTTATGTTTCTTCTATGTCATTGGTCGAGGCATATACGAATCCCACCATTTCGAAGGAACAATTATACTACTGAAGAAAGAAAAAAAATTAGCAAGTAGCAGGAACTATTGGCTTTTTCAATTGATTATTTAATTTTTATGCTATTGAAGCCGTTTATCCGGTAGGGAGTTTGGGTGATGGATTGCAAAAGACGCAAGCTGGTCTTCGATTAATTCGATGCGCCTAATTCAAACCATGATATTCTGGGGAGTTGTGTTAAGGTAAGCATGACCGAAAAAGGGTTGCTATGGTGCCTTCCTTAATGGGGCGCCATAAAAGTCCTTGATGTTGTTGAAAGGGTTGGTCGATGTTCTTAGCTTCCTCCTATTCGATGGTTTATTGTTCCATCACTTCATTGTGATGTTTTTTTGTTCTTGACGATGGTTTTAGCCGCCTTGATAAGGTCCTTTTCCAACTGAGCTGCGCGGTCATTTAATTGAAGGTTCTGCTTACCTAAGGCTGCATCGAAATGACGTTTGTTGCGGGCTTTAGCCACTCGGGATTTACTTTTAGGTCTGTAATCTGGTTTCTTCGCTCCAAAAGTCTTCCGAATATATAGAAAAGGCAGCACAGGATGAGGATGATGATCCTGACAATGAAAGCTCGGTATCTGTATCCAGGGTGCAGACGGTGTATGGCTAGCGTGACAACCTTGAGCTGTACCAGCATTGCCATACGCCATTTCTAATGAATAGTGCAAGGTCTGTTTTTGGTATTCTTCTCATCTCCTCAAGTGCCAGCTTTTCTTTAAGATTTGGTTCTTTTTGCACACTTTCTATGTTGTTGGTGTGGTTTGGGTTGTGAGTTCTAGGTAAATGGTTTTTTCTTCTTGTTCTTTATCGATTTTCTGTTTTTCCTTCCTTGCTCTTCTTCTTGATTGCGGCTTATTTAGGGACGGCCTTTGTTGAGGTATCTTGAAAAGAATGCTCTTCTTTAACAGCGTGAAAGGCACCAAATATGATTACTGGACCGACTTCGACAAGATGAATAAAAGTTTTTGTTTGGAAGGTCTCGTATTTTAAGGTTACGTTAGCAAATTTCAATAAGGCGGTTGCTTCTATAATGGCACAAAGTGTTTTTATTGATTTGGCCAGCTGATTGAACCCTCGATTGAAGGGCACGAAATTGAATTTTATTTAGGTCTGTTTTAGTCCAAATTCATGAACTAGGATTAACCCCTTATTTGTCATGCGGTTTATGTGTAGATATGTGTAGCTAGGTCAGTACAAACCCTTTTCAGGCTTTCACCGACTTCGCTTTTGGCTCAAGAAAAGCGCGCTTCCGTCGTGCTTTTCAGTTGTCGCGTACGCCGTTCGCTCGCGTTCGTTCGTACAAGCTTTCGCGCATTCGTTGCTTTCGGGTTTGTGTTGTAGGTGACCGTAGGAGCTCCTTCCCCAAACCCGCATACCTGTATACCACGGGTTCTAATCCTTCGGGTGTTCCCCGCTATGTGCCCTCTAGGACCAGGGTCCTTTATACCATCGGATATCTTTCATCCACCCTTCCCCTAAATAGGTTGTGGTGGTTGTTTGCTGATATCCCGGAATCCTTATCACTTTCATTGGTTATCAGCCGTAGGTCTAACTAACCTACGAGCTGTAATAGTCCGCCTCTTTTAGATCCAATGCTAAGGGTCATACCCCCTAGATCTCCACGTTCTGAGCCTGCGTAAGCCGCAGCCTCTGGCGCGGGTTCGTCGATAGGACCAAGCGTAGGCCCCAATCCCCGGCACAAGATCCCCGCCAGCAGTCGCCACGCAAGCCGCTGCTCCAAGCGCGGATTTGTCAGGAGCTGGCAGGAGTGAGGCAGAGGTTGAGGTGACGTCCTTGTTGGAACTCGGATCATAAGCCGTAGACGCTTTGAACTTATTCGTCGACAACCAAGACCCACCAACCGCTGCCGTAGGCGCGGATTCGAATAGCTCGAGATGGGCAGGAGCAGCATCCAGTGCAGGCTCTGATCCGACCATCTTTCCTCCTTCCGTGATGGAACACGAGGATAGGGACCTTGAGCTTGAAGAGCCCTTCGCTGGTCCGACAGACCAAGAGGCTTTGGACGATTCTGAGGCCATCCCCTTCGATAGCCCCACAGCCGAAGGCCATCCGGCCCCTGTGGGTGAGCATTCGTTAGGTGATACCTAAATGCATTCCTCCCTTGACAAAGACCATCCGGTCCTAGAGGAGACGATTTCGGCCAGTGCGAACGCCCCTAATCTTGCAGACCAAGGCGATCCAGCCCCTGCGGAGGAGGAGCCTGAAGAGTTCGTGCCACCCGAAACCCTAATTGCCCAGACCTCACCAACACCTAATAATCCTTCCCTCTCCACTAATAACCTGCTCGATCCTTTAGGTGAAGACGAGGACTCCTCAGCAGAGGAGGCAGTGAATGAGGAGATTGCCCAGCACATTCAAGAGCAATACGATTTGGAGACTGCGCTTGAGGAGTCCGGTCAAGCAGCAGGCGTCGAGCCTGACCCAGCGGATTTGGGTGTCGGTGAAGCCGCTGCCACTGGCGCGGGAAGG